TCTGTACGTCAGTGTGGAGATAAACTGACGAGATGACGTTTCAGGTGTCGACCGAACGGCGGCACGGGCAGCCGGACTAGGTCGCGCGGTAGATCATTGTAAAGCTTTGGCCCTCGGCAGGTAAAACGGCGGCGGCCCATCTCAGTCCTGGACCGGTGCACTGACAGTAGGTCGTCCTGCCGCGTGGTGCGCTCAGTGCCCACACGCGCCGCGGCTACAGTGGTGAGTTCAGCTGCCAGCTGCTCGGGCTCGCCCGAGCGCCACACTTTGTGGAGTGAGCATAAGGTGTGGTAAGAGGCCATGCTCTCAGCGCCGAGCCAGCCCAGTCTCTTGAGTAAATCTGAAGCGTGGTCGTATTTTCTGCGGCCAAAAAGCATTTTAGCGCCATAGTTAATAACTTTTTGAATGCGAGAAAGGTTACTCTTTTTGCAATTTCCATAAACCGAGATGCAGTACCGTAGCTGAGAGAAGACCAGGGCATGGATCAGCGCTGAGAGCACAGACATGGGTAGGTGCCCCCGCAGATGCGACAGACCAGTCAAAACTCCAAAGCAGCGGCTAGTAACAACAGAGACATGACGGTCCCAGCTCAACGAGGGATCGAAGAAAAGGCCTAAATTTTTTGCCTCGGGTTGTGGTCTCGGAACGTGTTCGCGATAGGTAACTGTGACGTTGTTTAAAGTGCGCAGATTTTGGGGGCTACCCAACAGCATCAGTTGAGTTTTGGCGGCATTCACTTTGAGTCCATTTGCTCTAAACCAAGAGTCAAGGGATAAAAGAGCATTTTCCATGCGGAGAACGACTTGATTAAGTTCGGATTTTTTTTGCCGCTGACAAGAATTTGGGTGTCGTCCGCATATTGGATAACTGCAGCATCTCCAGCAAATAGGCTTAGGTCGTTCGCAAAAATGCAGTAAAGCAAAGGGCCGAGAGATGATCCCTGAAACACGCCGATGCTGTTGGGTAGCGGGGTGGATGTCTGGACTCTGCCCCGGGCGTCAGTGAAGCTGACGCTCTGGGTGTGGTTGGATAAATAAGCCGAGAACCAAGAAGTATCAATGCCGTAAAGAGATAATTTTGAGAGGAGTTTTGAGTGGTCTATCACATCGAAGCACTTGGTCAAATCCAGCAGGCAGAGAAGGGAGACTTCACCACGATCGAACGAGGTAAGGATGCGGTCTGAAATGGAGATCAGCGCGGTTTCGGTCGAGTGAGACGGCCGAAAACCGTGCTGAGTTGGTGAGAGGAGGTGGTTTTCTGAGAGGTAGGAATAGAGTTGCTGATGCACAGCCCGTTCTACAATTTTGGAGATCACGAGGACAATGGATATAGGACGGAAGTTTGCTGGGTCAGAATGACTGCCGGATTTATGAATAGGATGGACTAGGGAGTGTTTCCAGGATTGGGGAACGTCGGATTGGGTTATGCTGGAGTTGACCAAGTGCAGGAGCACCCACCCCACCGAGTCAAAACAGGTACGTATCATGCGTAGGTCAATGCCGTCATCGCCGCTGGCGCGCGTATTGTTCATGCCGAACACAATGGCTCGCAGTTCGCAAAGCGATAAAGGCGCTAACACGAGAGCACATGCTCCGACCCGCGGCAAGCGACACGGTAAATCCGGTGTCGGCCCAAGGCGCTTAACCTCTTCCGCCACCCGAGTGCCTACACTGACAAAGTATCGGTTAAAATCGTTGGGCAGAATGTCCGGCGGCTTACAAGCAGCTTGTTTACTGCCGACAACGGGACGGATCAGTTGCCACATTGACTTCCTACCGCCGTCACGGATGCGCTGCTCGATATCGTGGCGGGTGTCCTGTCTAATGGCGGAACGCACCGCTCGGTTAGCCTCACGGTACTCGCTTGACCCGTGACCGAACTCTGCTAGCGCCCTCCGTCGGCGAGACATCAACGCTTTGGTTGCGTCAGTCACCGCGGGTGCCCTAGGGTTCCTAATTTTGACAGAGCGCTCCGGAGCATGCAAGTTGACAATGGGCATAAAAATGGCAATAAAGTTGTGCCACTTCTGTGTGACGGATACAGCGTTGAGCACAGGACTCCAGTCTGATGTAGCTAGATCGGAATTCAAAGCAGATGCGTCGACACGTTTAAAACAGCGGGATCTAATGTAAGAGGTACGCGGTTTAACACGGGGTATTGTCACAAGAGCGCGAATGAACTTGTGCGGGCTAAAATGACAGAACTGAGTGCGACAGGCGTTAACGACCGTGCGACAATTAACAATGAAAACGTCAAGCAATGAACCGGCGGTGTAGGTAGATGATTAAACACATTGATATAAAGAATGATCAGACAAGAAATCATTGAGCGCACGCTTTGCGGGGTCTGTGTCCGGCTTTAAAAGACAGCAGTTAAGGTCACCACAAATGAAAATCTTAGTCCGTGGATAGCTGACTGCAATGTGTTCAAACTGATCTCTAAGATCGTCAAAATCGGCTGTCAGGTCGGCGACCGCTCGTCGGGGCGGTCGGTAAACGGTGCAGATGACAATCTGGCGGCGTTGGTCAGGCTTAACTGAGATCCATAGGGTCTCCAGTTTGCTGTTTGGGCGTGCGATGGCTGTAGGGAGACGAATCGGTGTTGCGCTGATGCCGTCCCGCGTCGCCAGCGCCACGCCGCCGTACCCTCTCCCGTCGGGTCGGTCAGCTCGGTACAGCTGGTACCCGGGCAGCGTGAGCAGGCGGCTGGGGGTGGTCGGCTTCAGCCAGGTCTCGGTCAGGCTCATGATGTCATAATTACGACGACGTAGGTGGTCTGCCACCTCTAAAAGCTTAGGCTTCAGGCTCTGCACATTGATGACTCCCATGACGAGGCCGACCCCATGCGCAGGCCGCTGATGCTCTATCCGGTGCCGGGCTCCCTTGCTCCCCCTCTTCCTGGCGCTGGGCGCGCGCCTGCCCCGTCTGCTGACCCGACGGCGGTCGCCGCAGTCAGCTGATGAGCCCGCCACAGCTGGTCCGGCGCCAACTGGCACCGGTGGGAGTGGCGGCCCGCCAACTGGGTCAAGGTTACCCACAGTAGGGGCGGGAGGCGCGCGCCGTTCAAAGCGGGGAGGCTTGGGAGCCGGGGTTGCAATAACCACCAGAGCGCGCACAGCAACCAGCAGCACAAGGAGGCGGAGCAGATCACGGTGCCTCGGTAGAGCCATCTTCTCCACCCGGTCTCCGAAGCGACAGACCTCAGGCCGCACAGCTAGGCTGGTCGACCGGCACGAGTCACTGCAAAAGTCGTGTTGCACTAGCACTGCACCAGACGCGTAGCTATCGTGGTGAGCACAATCCGTTAGTCTCAGGCACTGGTTTGCGCACAAACACACTTAGATTCTCGCAAAAAAAGGCAGCGAGGTACGGGAAGGTTGGAGAGCGCCGGCGCCGCAACCCGACCCGAGTGCGGCGCGCCAGCCAGGGCCCCGGTAACGTGAGGTAGCCGAGTCGGGGCAGCGTGCGCTGACCCAAGCCGGGGCCGCAGCTTTGGGCGCGGTCTACCGCATCCCCGCGGGCAGCCCCGGGCTATCACATGACACCGGGAGGACGCGCGGCCCCGGCTTGGGTCAGCGCACGCTGCCCCGACTCGGCTACCTCACGTTACCGGGGCCCTGGCTTTGGGCGCGGTCTACCGCACCACCTAACAGGCGTGTTCGAAACCGCAGGAGATGATGATGAACGGGTTTATCGAAACTTGATTGGATGAGCATTGAGCATATCGGTAATAGCGATTTCAGTGTGTGCATTTATTGTTCATAGTGGTGTGAAATGTGGTTGGGGTACGACCGACAACCCGTCGGGACGAATTTCGCACTGGGGTACTCAAAATTTGAAGAATTTAAGACGTTTCCATGAGTTTTGAAGGTATGGATGAGTTCTAAAAATCCGGTTCTCCTTGTCCGAGTCATTAACTCCATATGGTCCAGGAAAGCTGGCACACTACCTTTAAATGGGGCGACTGTTCCGTTCAGGTGGGTCCCAACGGCTCTTCAGGGACGCCATCGATCCTGGGGGTTCGGAATATTCAGGTTTCCGTATGGCGCCCTTCAACATTGGAGGGCTCAGGTCCTATTTGGGGGTGCCCTGGAGAATATTGGGTGTCCAGGCACCCCCAAAGAGATATTGAGTTCGATCCCTGCTTGCACATCACTTTTTAATCCATGCTCACTCTGTAAAACGATCAGCCTAGTCCGCGACAATTGGGGCGCCATCTGGGTGGCTGGGCGGAAGGGGGGGCATGGCCCCTATGCCCCCCCCCCGTCTACGCCACTGGCCACAGGGTAAAATAACTGTCAAAATATACAAATATGAACACTTCGTTTGCATCGTTTGCACCATATTTTACGCTAGTTACTATGGGAAAGTCACCAAAACCACTAATCGCGTGGAAGCGACTGCATCCGACCGATTGTGCAGTGGTGTCACTTGCAAAAAGTACTGCTTAGCGGGGCGCCCGGGCTTACATCCACCCATTTATCCATTCGAACAAAACTTATTAAAAAAAAAAACAACTGGTCAATACAATGTGCATTGCGCACTAGCCAATTTTTCCAGGCATTCTCCCAGAAAATCTCGTGCAGAGGCCAGTTTTACCAACAGAAAAATAGCCGCCTGCCGAAATTTTTTTGACTTAAGATCGCTTCACGTACGGAGCGTAAACGCGATGGGCACGTTAGCGGATAGGGCTATACCGTTTACGCTCCGTATGTGAATCGGTCTTTAGTAAAAAAAAATTCCAGCAGGCGGCTACTTTTCTGTTGGTAAAACTGGCCTCTGTACTAAAAAGATGTTTAAAAGTAAGGGTTCGAACTTAAATGAAAAGGACTAGGTATAAAAATGGAGAACGGGGCCAGGTATGCCCTGAAAAAAGGTTAATAGCAAAACACGGTTGTCAGATTTGAAATCACTTGCATTAAAATAGGTAGGAGCACACACCCTCGCCAATTATATTTATGTTTGCCGTTATCCGGTGTATTCTGCCTCAGAAGAACTCACGGACTGGTGCGCCGGCCCGCTGTCGGCCGACTGGGAAGCAGTGCTGCACATCAGGTCGGCGTCCGAGAAGATACCGGACGTGTCCACGCCTAGGCTTTCGGCCACGTCTAGACCCAGGCGCTGGTTTACTAGGCGTCGCTGGGTGGACACGTCTGCAGGGCCAGTTACGTCGTCTTGAATACCTACAGGACGGATACACAGCGTCATAAATGGGGGAGTCACCAGTTACCAACGTGGAATAGGGTAATCATTGACACAAGGGTGGACCTATTAATATCTCTGTAAGCAAAAATTAAATCAAGCTAAAACAACATTGAACCACGTCATAGCATAGCATTTTACCCTAGCACTGTTCTGCCCTAAAGGCAAAAAGACAGACACTTTTGACATAAAGGGTGCGAACGGCTTTCAATGGGATCGTCCCGCCCTGGAAAGTCATTGAAGCGGGTCCATTGTAGTCTTTACGTTACGAAGAATAGGCTAAAGATATTTATTAAATGACGCCGAAAAACGCGGTATTACAAATTCTTGTCCGCGATGTCATCAAGGGATTATTCACATAAATTTGGTAGCACTGGCTACACAATATTTCAACCGTGGCGTAACGGTTTCAAATTTTGTAGGAGTGTGAAACTGGACGCAACAATACTTTTTAACCGTCGCCCTGGCAGGGCATTTTTCATAACACGGCCTGGCAGGGGGGGGGGGGGGGGGTCGATGCGACCCCTCCCCCCTCGCGATTGGCTCCTATGGCACCTAGAAACACCAAATTTGGTAGGTAGGTGGGCCCCCTGGAGTTCTCGCCCCTGTGCAAATTTGGTTGCTCTAGGTCAATATTTAGGGGGGTTTTGGGGGTATAAATGTAAAAATTTCGCTAAAAACAGGTCAAAAGTTTTTCGCTTATAACTTTTGATCTAATTAAGATAGCGCAAAAAGAAAAGCACCAGTGAACTCAGCACGTCAAGGCGCGTCGAATGATATACTTCTTAGCCTGCTTAAGTGTACTTAAAGTTTTTCTTAAATTTTAAGTAAACTTAAATTAATAAATTAAGTTCAAGTTAACTAAATTGCATCATATCGCATATCATTCGATTCGGCTGATCACTAGGAACACAATGATACCATTTTTAAGCTCTAGCGTCATCAGGCGCGGATACAAGGGGGGGGCCATGGGGGCCATGGCCCCCCTTGGCCGATTTTTTTCAAAAATAAAATAAAAAGTTAAAAAGTTAAAAAGCTGAAAAGGGGGCCTCCTGAAAATAAAGTGGCCGAAATCCGATGAGTTTTTTTTTTAACCTACCCACTTAGTTACTTCTTAGAAGACTAGCTGAGAAGACTTCTTTGTTAGAAGATTGGTAAAGCTTTTCATAACTTGGAGGTCTCTTATACTCACAGAGATGACCACTTTTACAGGGCCTCCTAGCCTGCACAGAGGGCCTCCAAGCCTGCACAGATGTTGAGATGTTGCCTGAACAGCTAGATAAGCTCAATAGACGCAGTTTTTTTTTGGGGGGGGGGCCAACAAGTGGGAAGATGGGGCCTCCAACAGGTGGGATTATGGGGGGGGGCCTCCTGGTTTCTAATGGCCCCTCCCTTGGAGATTTTCTGGATCCGCCCCTGAGCGTCATTATGTGTCAAGTTATTGGCAAAAACGTCATTTGACCTCAGTTGACCTCATTTGACCTGACCCATGGATAAGTACACCAAACAAGGAAGCACCAAGTGACCTGCTGTTAAGTACTGTGGTTTCAAAGCACAAAAGTGATAGAACGAAGCGGATATCTCCAGTATTTTCCGAATTTAGTATTTTCCCATAGGCTTAACATTACGACGTAATGACCTCTAACTGACCTCAGGTCAGTGAGCTAAAAAAAAACGAACTATATGTTATACAACTCGGTGAACTTGGCACATCCTGAAAGTTTGAAGGAAATCAGTCCAAAACTGTGAATTGGACAGGTGCAAAAAGAAAATTGAAATTTGACCATGACCTTGTACCCGTTTTTCTGACCTGGTGACCTGACCCAAGGTCACCCGGACCTGAAATTTTCAGGTCATATGTAAAAAGGTTGCCCCATAGGCTGTGCCAAATTTGGCGGCGCGCAGCGCCGCCGTTTTTACGCTATCCTCGAAAAACCTTAGGGGGGGTCGCATCGACCCCCCTGTCAGGGCGAGGGTTAAGAAGAGAACTAATCTGGAACGCCACAAATAGTGATGTCAATTACAGAAAATCGGAATACCGATACCAAACCAAATACCAACCAAAACCGTGGACATGGATGATATAACACTGGATTGGTGTCTCGTGGAAATTAACATTGGGATCCGCGACATTGGGATCAGGCCTGCCATCTAGCGAGAGAATTATCTAAGTTTTTTTTTTTTAACCATGTATTCATTTATTATCATCAAGCAAGATCAAGATCAAGCATCCAAGTGCACTGGCGTTTAAATACGCGGGCGGGCATACTACATACATTGCCGCCCCAGCCCTATAGTACCCGATTCCTAATAGGTATGAGTGTCCTCTCTTCCCGTGCACGACATTACACAGCTGGCCGCCCGATTGCTGCACCAACTACCAGAGTGCGCCCCAGTCGTCCACACTCGGCAGAAATCATACAAACCACGCACCCGTGCGAGATATAACGGTTATACGCAGCTCTTTTTTATGCATACATATTACATCTAACCAGGGCCATCTAACGTTGTGCCATCGGACCGCCGCGCCGTCCCGGCCGAGCGGGGCCAGGCCCGGCTGCGGCACGGGCAGCAGCGCCAGCGGGCACGCCACTACGGGTGGGCCGGACGAAAGGGCCGCCGGGCGACGGGCGCGGCACCGTGCCGGCCGCCGGACCCCCGACGACAAACCCCAGCAACGGAGGTATCTCGCACGCATGGGTTAATTGGATGTGGGGAGGGCTGAGGGATGGGATTATATATTCCCGACCGGGGCTGGGAAAATGCGTTTTATTCACCGAGGTTTTTGTGCGGAGGACCGAGTGCCGGTAGGCACGAGGTCCGTAGCCAAAAACCGAGGTGAATAAAATTGCATTTTCACAGCCCAAGGTTGGGAAGAGATTTACCACATGCCGTACCGGCGCAACAGTTAATATCATATTCATTTGATATATATTATTATATTCTTAATATTGTGTTAATATTATATTAATACTATGATCATATTTATAGTCACCGTGATTATTTTTTGTGTTTTTCATTATTGGGCTGCGTTGAGTATAAAAGATGAAATTTCCTACTTCCCCCTTATCTAGGGTTTGAAAAGGCTGAGGATAAAGATTGTGAAGCGTCAGAAGTTAGAATAAAGAAGATATGGAGTCCACTTCAAGCAGGAGTGAGGAAACCGTGAGGAAAACTGAAAATTGGTTGAACCGCTTAATCAAACGCGTCTTGGATCCCAGCTGGAACAATAGCAAATGTTTCATTGTGGCTTGTTAAGATGCTTCGCGCATTTAAAGTGTTCGCTTTTTGCGTGCATTATGTTGTAATACTAGTGTAATGATGAGTTCGCTGACCATGTTCTGCAGCAATAAATACATTGGCATTTGAACGATACCTATATCCTTGTTTAGTTGAATTACGTTGAGAGCAAAAGTAAGTGAAAACGCAGTCACTTAATTTTGCTCACTTCTGCTGTTGCTGTTAGTGAACACACAATTCGTAAATATCTTCTTTGAAATTGGTTCTTCCGCTCAGAATATTCAGTAAAATTTTGTCTGGGAAAATCAAAAAGCCCTAGGGCCGAATCGTTTCCCAAATACCTTCAACATTAGCCGAGGCGGGCCGAAGCTATTTCCCAAATGCACGTGCTAATGTTAAAGGGATATCTCGGCATGTGGTAAAAGGAGTTGGTTGGGTATCAGACAAGATTTTCGATACACTGTCCCATTTTTCTATAAATTGTAAATTCTTGTTATTTCTAATGGAACTTATCTGTTCCTTTTCAGCTTCTATTTTCAGTAACGCAATGAACTGATTGATATTCGGTGTGTTGTTCTTATGTTTTGCTTGAAAGACTGCTTGTTTGGCTAATGTAATTATCATTATACTGAGTTTACTCTCTTCCCCGATCCTCGGAAAGAACCAGGACTGTGCCGTAAGGCGCATTATTATGTTATAATTGTCTTTTATATATCCTATTATTTCTTTTATGAAGTCTTTTACTTTTTCACACTCCCACAGTATATGATATAATGTTTCATTCTCCTCCTTGCAAAAAGTTCATAACGGACTTTCGGATTTACCAATCTTGAACAGGAATGTATTTGTTGATATAATTCTGTTTATAATGCGGTAATGCAAAGTTTGCAGGTATGTATTCTTTGTGGATTTCTGCACATCGTATAACGTACCTTCGTGCATACACCCTACATCTCTGTTCCATTTACGTTTGATATGTATTGGCAGAGTGTTTTCTTCGTTATATATCGAGACGATAAATGTTTTATATGCTAATCGCGAAGTATTTACATTTTTAGAGAGCATTGTTACTTTATATGGTATATTAGGGTACACAATTTCAGAAACAGCATTGGATAACTCAGTTTGACGTGGTAGACTTCGAGTAAATGATCGATAACACAAGAAAGTCATACTTATATTAAATGTTTGATTCAAAGTTTCTCTATCCAACAGTGTTCCACTACTTTTGCAGTATAGATCTGCGATAAATCGCAACCCTTTTGTATTCCATTCGTGAATGATGCTTGTTTTAAATTTAGTATGGTCTGAAAACCACATTTTGTCAGTTAATATCTGTTCTGGTGAAACAGGAAAATCTGCACATAAATCTGCCCAACTGTTAACAACATCTTTCCAAAATGTGTTCTGAACAATATTATTTGCAATGTGTCTTAATTTTTTCGCCCCATAACAAACTAACTCACAGATAGGTGGAACACTTTCTTTAAAATGATTTGCCCACATAGATCGCTCATTAGACAAGAATAATCTTTTCATCCAACTTATTTTAAGGCTTTTAATAAATGATCTTATATCAATCATTTTCAATCCATCCTTTTCATATTCTTGAACAAGTTTTTTTTCTTCTTATTTTGTCTGGAGCATTACTCCAAATATATTTAACCCTCGCACCGACGGGGGGGGCGGATATCCGCCCCCCTGAGGTTTTTCGCGAATAGCGGGAAAACCGCGGCGCGTA